CTATGGCACACTCACAAACGAAAATTGTATTCAGTGTATTTTTTTTTATCATTTATGTTATCTCGCTTTTTTTGTATATGTATGTTGTAATTTGTGTGCTGTAAGTAATGCAAATAAATTATCTATCTATGTATCTATCTATCTAAAACATAAAAATATTGTGATACATTTTGATAATAGTGTTTATATTTGTTTTATAACATAATTCTGCTTATAATGCTGTATTGATATTGCGAGCGTGTATGAAAAGACTGATGAATGTGGAAGAAGCGAAAGAGGTTTGTTTGAATCGAAGCATTTGGCGTTCCATTGGGAGACATGCGTGACAGTTATGTATGTATATATGTATGATGTAACTAGGTAATGTTTTTAAATACTAAGAATGCTAAGTTACGTTATAGTACAATTATTGTCTCTCCAACTCGGTTAAAACTGCTTTTTGAAGTTACTTTTTTACTTGATAAATTTAATTATTTGAAACAGATTTACAATTAATAAATTTTTGTTTTTATAAAATATAATGATGAAGTAATAAAAAATGTAAACAGTTCTACCTAGACTACTTATTCATCAGCATTTGAGGTTTGTTTGTTGTCACTGCGTTTGCCCGTGCGTGGTCGCCACTCAAGACCCTTTCTTCCCCATCGGTTGTCTGTTCTTCGAGCTATGTAACTAGCCTATGCCACTTCATCTTGCTTATCCTTCGACTACTAATTGTGACGGAGGCAACCAAAGCAAGTTGTCGATAATGGGTAAAAGTTATTTATTATAAATCATCATATATCAGCCTTTAACTGTCCACTGCTGAACACAAGCCTCCTCCTGGGGTTTGGCAGTAGTTACCCCGCTTGGCAGGCGAACTGGCAACCGCAGTCAGGTTTTAGAGATGTTTTAAGAGAAATGCTGCTGCCCATCTCTCGCCCTTCTTTAGTCATCTCTTACGACACCCATGGGAAAGGAAGGGGTGGCCTATTCTATGACGGGACCACACGGTCCTGTAGATTATAAATACTATAGTATAATAAACTGCACTAGTACTAAAAGCTATTAAGAATAATAAATGGTCAAATGCAAATTGAACATAATAAATTGAGTAAATTTAATTTATTATTGGCACATAAGCGAAACAAAAACCTGTTGATAAGTACTGTCAGTACGTATAAAGTAAATCAGCGTACAACAAATCAGGGTCATATGTCAAAATGGTCACATAAAACTTAAAGAGTCAGTCATGCAAACATTAATTAAATCACAATTTGATACATTAATCAAAACTATGGAACAAGGCATTCGTCTAAAAATAAAAATGTATAATAAACTAAGAACAAGGAATTACATAGAAGGAATGATAAAATAAAAACTGTAAATCATATGGTTGCCTCCTTTCTTCTTATGCAAATATAATTAGTAAAAAGAGGACGAAAGATACACCATCAGATATGTCAATTATTTGTCAATGACAAATTTTACATTACTAGATTATATATTGGACACAGTTTATGTAGAAAGTATGCAATCAGGTTGTATCTGAATTTGGTTGGATTATACGGTTGTATAACATTTTCTATACACTAACCTGCTATGAATTGACAATTCTATGTAATTCCTTGTTCTTAGATAATAAATTACCCAAAACACTAACATAATTGCCGAGAAATACATTTAAAATACATTTATAATGGGTCAACTTATTGTCGTCAACTATTCGTCAAATTAGCTTATTAGTTTTTTTGTCAGTGTTCTATATACTTAACACACAATGCCTCTTTACGTATCTATATTTAATTATTTATTAAATAAAATAGTTATTACGCATTAAATAGATACAAAAATTATAAAACAAAATAAATATAGAAGTTATAAAAAATTGTATGAAAAAGTTGACCCGCTTTTCTCGAAACATTTGTATGGAGACACTGTATCTATACAATCTAAGATAAAAATATACATAAGTTTTCATATGGATAATTATTTTCTTCGATGTCGCTACACGCTGATCACTCGTCTGAATCTACCAGTCTAAATAGGAAACAATAAAAAAAAAAGAACGGTGACCGATGTCTCAATCGGATTGCAACCGCGATACTTCTGCTAAATGGTCTGTCATTAGTTGCGTGCTCGCCTATGCGCATGCGCCTTTGTATCTCAATGGCTCGTCATGATCCACTATTGAGATGTACACAATGAGATACTATCTCACTTGAAAGTGTGTTGATGTTTTTAAAAAGAATTGTATGTAAAATGACTTGTTATCAAGATAAACGATGTTCATCATTAAATATTTAAATTTGTATGATTTATTATTGCTTTACAAACTTCGCCATCGTCTCCTTGTTACATAACCTGTCTGGTTACGGTAATTAAATTTCTGATAACGAATGCATCAAAAGTTAGTTATTTACGTTAACTTTACTATTCGTCTATTAAAATCAATAACGGTCTCGTTAATTGTTAAAAGATTTGTGGAATGTTTACAGAAATCGTTAGAAAGCGAAATGAGCGTTCACAATTAACAGCTTTTAAAGGGTTTCCTCGTAAATCTTGATAATGAAATGTTCACTGACTCAATGTGTACTTCACATTTCGACAATATACTTTATTGCACTCTTCAATGAGTCCGTTTTCGTTTGCGTCTGTCACGAAGGCAACTCTTTGGAAAGTGAAATTGGGGCGCACCTGACGTTGCTTTCTTTACGTCTCGGAGTTCTTTTTGCTTCAGTGAGAGTGGTCTAGATTCGATAATTGTGTCGGTAGCGAGTCCGTGACGAGTTCGGTTCAACCTCCCGGTGTTTCGACTACCACTGGTTGTCGAAACATCTCCTATTTTGGATGACGATCGATCGGTATCGAGGACTGACTAATTACTTTGATTTATATGTTTGTTTCTTCGCTAACTATCGCTGTGATGGCTAGTTAAAGCCAATTTCTATCTCCTATTAAATATTGCAATGCAAATAAACTTTTTTTTATATCTTTTTTTTTACGAGCATATCGTTTAATCGCAAAGTGGATCAATATATTTCGTTAGTGTCCCTTTGGTTGGATTGAGTTTCAAATCTTGATATCTGTTTTAAACGAGCCTTTCGTATCTCCATTCTTGGGCGAAAACCATTTGTAGCAGCAGTATTTATTTGTCTTTTGTCGACTGTTTGTTGAAATTCGTGATTGTATCACTGTCGATAGAGAGTTTTTGCTCCGAGTCCACTTTGATAGTGCATTGTAATTTTTTGGCTCGATAGAAAGCGACAATTTTGTAGTCCAATTTTGTTATCCTCTTTTATTTCGCAACACGTTTTTGTAGTTTTCTTACTGGATATTAAAAACGCATTTGTAAATTCCGATTTAATAACATTATTTCGAATGACATTGTCCATAACAAAATCCTCCGTTCCGCGAGTTTTTCGCGGCACTTTCATGCTCTTTGGTAGAAACTTTCACCGGGTCCTCGGACCGTATAAGGATTGTTCAGATCGATGATTAATCCGTAGCTGGGAGCTCGTGCGCAGACTCCGCGGCGCCTTCCACGCTATCGAGCATCAGCAGCGCGCGCGCCGACGAAAGTGCAAGTCGCCCAGTTCCCACGACCCTCCCCCCTCGCCCCCCACTACGCCGACTCGAGAAACTATCGATTATTTTAATTCGAATTATTTACACTTTCGAGCTGGCGAATTAGATCGTTAATGCCGATATTAAATACCGTGTTTGGTCTTACCGAGTGCGGGCAGTTTTAAATAAAAGGTTTATATTTTTAAGTAACGCCCAAAAGGATAAGTTTCTCAATTTGTCTATACGCAATTACGTCGCGAATTCTGGACCGATTTTTATAATTCTTTTTGCCGTCTACTTTTGTATAATGTTTACTTCTATATTGGTACCATATTCACTTTATGATGATTAAGAGTATTTAGAATGTTTCTCTGTTTGTCTGTATGTTTGGTCCGGCATCACGCAGAACCTATGCACCAAATTAAATGAGACTTCAGGTGTCTCTGAACTTGTTATATTTAAAAGCGGGTACCTACATCCAAATTCCACACATGGGAAGTTACGGGGAAAAGACAGTATGAATAATATAAATTGAACTACAACTATTTTTGGGGGGAAAGGGATTGTTAGTAATGGAGTTTGATAGCCCCATTGCTAGCAATATGCCTTATTAGGTCGACCACGTGGTTCCTCCTGGAAACCATCGTATACCGTATCCATCGTATACGGGTGGGGTTACCATTTCATTATCATCTACTAAAAAAAAAAACTACAACTATTTTGTCCGCTTAGTTCTGAACTGAATAGGAGCCCTTATTCATGAGCGCCGTTCACTTCAGCGTGCTGTTTGTCGGCGCATGCAATATAAAACGTGAGAAAAGAAAAGCCGACACAAATAATTACAATACAGTATGACTCACGATAGTTATTATTCTACAACTATTTTAATTAGTGTTCATATATAGTGATACTTTACATATAAAGAAAGCTAGCAATTATACAAATGGCAGTTCGACAGCCACACGGAAGTTGCGATAAATTTATTGTATTAAATGATAGATTTAGTGCCGAATTGGCGAATAAAATGTTTGTTGCCAAAATGTTTAAATGTCCACGCCTAAGGAGTTTTTGAGATATGTATTAGAAAAGAGAAAGCCGAACGATTCCAATGAATTTCTTCTAATGGCCGCCGTTACTTAATTTCTGTTATTTCTAATTATATTTTAGTCTTCAAAATGCAATTAATCGAAACATTCCTTTATGCCTGTAATATATATTATATATTGTGTCCCACAGAAAAACCGACATCAATTGTGACAAAAACATTTATTTTGATTTAAAAATTAAAGTACTGAACCGATATTGATAAAATCTTTATGGGACTAAACTGTAAGTATATTCCTTCAGATAAAAAAGAATTTCCCAAATCGATTTCTAACTAACGAAGTTATGAGGTAATAAACACAAACAAGTTACCAGAGGGAAATTTGTACAAAAGTCGATTGCTTGGGTACCTCTGTCCCATTCCCACGGTAGAAACACTTCTACCGTGAAGCAGTTGTGTTTGCATGGCTGTGTTTCGGTTTGAAGGGTGGGATATGGCGTGAATTTACTGGGTACAGAGGAATAACATCTGTGTCCTCAGGAATGGCAACGCATGGGGGGTATCATGGGCGAAACAATATACTCTGTTATGTCCATGGTACTGCTCATGTCTATAGGCGACGGTTACCACTTTCCATCAGGTGGGCCGTCAGCTTGTTTGCCATTCTAAGTTGTATAAAAAAAAACTAATTAGTTAGTTTTTTTTTGAAGTCGGTTGATAAATATATGTAGCAGCAGGTGTATAAAATGAATTAATATACCCTGGAAGTGTATTGCAAGTATGGCGTCAGAATCTCATTGTCGCATTCCCAACCCACGCAGCCGATCTTGACACACGATCAGCTATATAATTCCGCTTGTATGATTAATTGGTTTCATCTAAATATAGAAATGATATGTAAATAAACAAACATACAAGCGTTTGCTGACGATCATGTTAATGATAAATCAGAAGCAGACTTGGTACAAAAGACACTCGTGCTTTGCCCGGCAAACAACTATTTTTGCTTGGGGGGGGGGCATCTAAGAGTATATATTGCTTATATATACTCTTAGATGCGTCTTTGTGAAGATTCGTTCGCAACTACGTGGTGGACGGAACAACTAGTCCCATTGCTAGCAATATACCTTATCAGGTCGACTTCCACGTGGTCCCCCCCGGAAATTGTGTATTGCTATCAATGGGTTCATTAGACCCCATTACTAACAATCCCTTTCCCCCTAACAACCCCGTTAGTTTGGTGTACGAATAGTACCAAATATCCATAAACTATTCCTGTCCAGTGTCCAAAAGGAGCTACTACGCACCATAGCTAATTAAGAACCTCATAAATGGATAAGGAAGATTAATGAAGTGATATGTCACCATAATGTTGGTTTATATGAGCGTTAGTTGGAATAAATTTTATTATTGAACTTGGGCATTCACCAATGTAGGGTGTAAGTTATGAGCGAAAGCGGATTAGAAGGACGGACGTATCTTTGAATATGTTCAAGAAATTATTGTACCCAGTATTTTTAATTCTCATAACCACACATATAAAAAAAAAAGTTTATTACAATAGTAGTAAGCAAAAGGAAAGTAAAAAATATATCTAGTAATAAATAATTGAAAATTTTGTCACACAAAAAAAAAAACATCAACTTCAACTTATTTTAATTAAAAAACTAACTGTTCTAAAAGTATTCAGATGAAAAAAGAGATTTCTGTAATCGATTTATAAACGACGGAGTTATAAGGTAATAAACAAAAATTTATACAGCAAAATTGTAAACCTCCTCCTTTTTTGAAGTCGGTTGATAAATACAAAAAAGTACTGTGAAATAAAAAAAATAATGTATTTAAATACACTTTCATTGCGTTAAGTCCCGAAAATGTATTTAAATATGTGTAAAGAACGAGAAAGTTTAAAATTATTTAATATTAAGGTAGATAAAAAGGCGCACGAGTTCTTACAACATCGCGGCATAGGCGATCATTTCTGTATTCTCAAATGCGCTCTCCTCCAGTAACTTGTACCAAACACCAGAAGGATAACCGTAAATTATACCATATGATCCCGTGCTCCAGTGGTTTTACGCGTGTCACACGACAAATTTATGGTCGCCATGGGCAAAAGTATTAGCTTCACAAGTTATGGGTGCTGTGATTTTATTGTATTCCGAATAGAATTAAGACATTAATGATGGTAATAAAATATACCTACATTCTAGACTTATTTAACTGATTTTTCATATCTACTTCAAGTTTCAAAAATTACATTCATTTGATCATTATATCAACATCAATTTTATCATCATCATCATATCCAATGCTGCACATAAGCTTTCCCCATACGAAGAGATTTGCTAGTAGTTGCCACGGTTGGCAGAGGCGGGTTGGAAACCCCAGTTAATATTTGGTGATGTTTTAAGAGGGACGCTGTTGCCCATCCCTTGACCATTAAGTTCCCTTAGTTACCTCTTACGACACCCACGAGAAAAGAAGAGGTGGCCCATTCCATGCCGGCACCACAAAGATACTCTAATACAATCCAAATAACACCTACTTTTACGCAAAAAAGCGCTTAAATACATCTGTTTTTTTCACTCAAAACTGTATAAAAACTTTTCAATATAACCGATTTATTGCAACGTTCCAATATAACGGACGGCTATTCTAGGTCGATGTAAATTAAAAATGGCGTCCGCGTCACGGTGTCACCTATATTTATTGATGGATCTACGCAATAATGCGTGCCTCATAACTATTTTTGTGTTTTGTTTTCTATTTTATATTTTTTTTATACCACTTAGAATGGCAAACAAGCTGACGGTCCACCTGATGGAAAGTGGTAACCGTCGCCAATAGACATGAGCAGTACCATGGACATAACAGAGTGTACTGTTTCGCCCATGATACCATGCGTTGCCATTCCTGAGGACTCAGGTGTTATTCCTCTGTACCTTGTAAATTCACGCCATATCCCACCCTTCAAACTGAAACACAGCCATGCAAACACAACTGCTTTACGGTAGAAACACGAATGGGACAGAGGTACCCAAGCAAACGACTTTTGTACTAAGTCTCCCTCTGGTCTTGATTATATCAGCCGTTAACTGAGCACTGCTGAACATGGGCCTCCCAACTAAGGGAGGTTTTGCCAGTAGTTGCCACGCTTCGCAGGCTGATTGGCAGGAGTTAGGCTCTAGTGAGTAGTTTTAAGAGGGACGCTGCTGCTCATCTCCCGCCCTACGTTAGTCGCCTCTTACGACACCCACGGGAAAAGAAGGGGGTGGCTTATTGTATACCGGGATCACATGGTAACTAACTAAATACTTTTCTTTGTTATTACTGTTTTTTAGCTGCGACTTCGTTCGCGTAACCGACATATCTACATTTGTTAAAATCCGATTAGCTTTTTAAGCACGATTGGATAACAAAAAACAAACGTCCAAATATTTTTACAAACTTTCGTATTCTTAATATTAGTAGGACAGGCCACAAGCCCTAATGACATCATCATCTTTTCAGCCATTATCCGTCCATTGCGGGACATTGGCCTCTCCCATAGATAGCCGTAAGGAACAGTCCTGAGCCACCTGCAGCCTAAGCCTTAATGTAGTTATTGTTAAATTCAAGGAATCATCAGGAAGGAAAAAAGCCTTCGTGAATATCGCAAATCTCCTTCCGGGATGATGGGAAAACCAATCCAGGACGTTTGCCCTCCCCCCACCTCCCTGGTGGTTTCATCCGTCGAGTACGGTGATACTCGGGTCACATTCACACGGGAGACATTATAGTGGAGATTCTTCTAAATCTGCTGATGTTTTCTACGCCGGTGTCGGTTCATTTTGCGCGGACTTCGCCTGCCGGTGAAACCCCGTGAGGAGAGGCCCGGCAAACTGCAAATGAGTGCCAATTATACCTGAATACATACATACATACATATTTGTCACGCCTGTCTCCCATTAGAGTAGGCAGAAACAATGAAACGCCAAATGCTTCGATTCAAACACACCTCTTTCGCTTCTTCCACATTCATCAATCTTTTCATACACGCACGCCGGTTACGGGTACTTTTAATTTGGCCCTTCTTCAGCACGTCGCCTATTTGGTTGACATACGTCCATCTAGGGCGGCCCCTACCGACATCTCCATTCATTCTTGCTCGATAAATATCTATCGTAATTCTTCTTTCATGCATCCTCTCCAAATGGCCAAACCAACGCAACATTCCTTTTTCGATTTTTGTCACTACATCGGCTTTCAGTCCACACTTCTCTCTAATCACACTATTTCTTACTATATCTACCTGGATATTTATACTTATACCAGTACTCAATACCTATGTGCGGTGTGAAGTAATAATTGATATAGATAGCTGTGGTTGAGGTGGAACAGCCATATACGGAGTTCAGCGCGATATGCATCTAGTTTGACAGTAAAACGATTTGAAATGCCTGAGTCTAATTGTGTAATCTATGCAACTACAGCTTTGTTCACGTGAATTAGGCGTTTTAATAGATGACAATGGAACGGTAACCCCACCTGCGTTAACGATGATGAATACATCTGGAATTGGGGGTAAAGGGATTGTTAGTAATGGAGAGTGAGAATCCCATTGCTAGCAATATACCCAACCAGGTCGACCTCGCGGTTTTCCCTGAAAACTATCATGGTTAATTCCTGATGTATTCATCATGATGGGCTAACTGGCCTGTTTTCATTCTCATCTATCACCCTTCACTGGTGCTCCGCCAGCGTATTCCGTTAGCGCAGGCGGGGTTACCATACCATTTTCACTCATAAAAAAAAACATCTGGAATTCAGCAGTTTCGAGAGGGAACCACGTGCAACGCTCGACCTGATGTGCTATATTGCTAGCAACATTATAATAAATAAGTATTAATTTTATATGTATACATATTTTTTATAATATGTATACAAATACAGAATAGAATACGAGCTGAGTTTCTTGTCAGTTCTTCTCGTCTCGAAAACATTCCGAACTGACGGTGGATTTGACATATCATAAGAGTCTGTAATAGACCTACATGAATAACTGTGAAAGCAGTTCATCATCTTCATCATCATCACTTTTGATCTCTATTGTTGTTTATTTATGTTATCGTATATAATCTATAAGTATGTAGGTATTTTTATTATTATATATATTTATATTTGTATGTATGTATTTGTATTACATATTTGTATATTTTTGTAATATTTGTTTAATGTATTCATGTATGTATGTATACTTATATAATCATAATGTGCAGTAGTTCTCTATTGTATGTGTTGTAATTTTTTCACCGCATAATAAAATTTTTGTTTAGCCAAAGGTTGACTGGGAGAGACCCAGACCCAGACCTTTTGTACCAGACTTTTTTTTGTAACGTGGTCAATAAAGAATAAATAATTAAAAATAAATAAAATAAAGATATTTTGAATTAGAATTTGTATCATTCTTTAAAAGGAACAATAAAGAGTTTTCATTCATTCATTCATTCCCTATTTGCCCAGAAAATGTCACCCAGAAGAACAGACTTTTATGACTCCGCCCCCCTACCCCCTACTAGTGAAGTCGAATAAATAATATTGTTATTGTATTTCACCATATTTAGCTTTATTAGGGTTGTGTAAGTTTGTTCCCCTGGCCGTTGTATCAAGATCATATCTCCGATTGTCA